CATCTAGTCATATACATGCTAATTAGTTTTCTTATGAAATATACAGTTGGTAGATAACATCATGTCCTTTGACACTATGGTTTTGAAAAACTTTCCCTGATCAGCAGTTCATCTAATTCATATAACTGATCCACACTAGGTTGGGATTTTTGCATTCAAGTGGTACCTCTAAGGTTTCCTTAGAATTATTCACAATCATGATGTTGATTAATTTTCAGGACATTCATATTACATAAATGATACTATAAAACTGAGAAACATGTCTTTGTTATCACTTTTAATGTTAAGGATGGATTTCACTGGGCAGCCACTTATGAATTTAGACCTAGCATTCTTAATTAGAAAATAGATGAGTCATGGGAGGGGATTAAAATTCCTCTCTCAGTCAACCCCATTGCACCAGCCATTAGTTAATAATGATGGATGGGGTAGCATTTGCTCCCTATAGAAATGGTAATGAGCAACTCTTCCTGGAAGAAATCAGCTGGGGCACCAGGAGGTAGAATTAATAAACCAGAGCAAAATAGTACTTGAAAAATGAGAGTGGTAACAAGGAAATCTGAAAGAAAAGTAGCCTTTAATACCTACCCTACAATCTTCCATAAATATTGGAGAAAGGTCCATCTGACTCGACTTATGCTATCCAGAACTCCCAATGCCTACAGGGCAACTGCCCAATTCCCTAACATCCTCCTGGCTAAATCTCAGCAATACTTCAGGGCCAGTCTCAAATACTAGTCTTCAACAATGCCTTCCAGGTCCTGCCATTCCAAACTAATTTTTTTTTTATTCCCTTTTCATGTTTTGTGTGCTTCTCAGTGTCTGCTTGATACTTTTTCCCTTATCTGCCTCCCCAGTGGATATGAACACTTGAAGAGAAAGGCTGTATTTTGTTCATCTCTGTATCTCTCACAGCATAACATTGTGCCTAGGAACCATAGAGGTTTGTTGAATCCAGTGGGATTTTTAGAGTTGGTGAAAAATTTATTCACCTACATACTGGTTCATTTCATTTGGTTTTATTTAGCTGAATTAATTTTGGAAAATGACCACCACATCCCTGCTATGTATCAGACAGGATACTGGGGATACCAAAAAGTGATAACCCTTATGTAAAGAAATTGTGTTTTCCTTAATCAAGATAAAGGAGAATTCCTACTAGGTTAGCACTAGAAGTAAATGTTCAAATGGGAAAGGGCAACAAACCAGACAGACCTGACTGTAGGTGCACCTTTACCCAGGGCAGTGGTCCTCAACCTTAGCTGTACAATGGAATCACTGGATAATTTTGAAAATGCTGGTACATGTGTGCCTTGCCTAGAAATTTTGATTTAATTGGTCTCGATTTGAAAAAAAAAAAAACTGCCTCAGATCATTTTCATGTGCAATTCAGGTTATGACCATACTTAAGGCAGAGGTTCTCAACATTTAGTACACAAAAGAATTATCAGCAGAGTGTTCGAAAACGCAGGTTCTTGGGCCTTATCCTCGGACATGCTGATTCAGTAGGTTTAAAATGAAGCCTAAGAATCTATATTTTAACAAGCTCTCTAGGTAATTTTAATGCAGATGAACTTCAGGCTTTAATTGGAAAAACACTGCTTAGAGAGATTTGCTATCTTTAAGGGATAGAGTTTTTCCATATATAAACATCGTATTGCTTGCCATTTATTTAAGTCTTTTATGTCCTTCATTTACATTTTTGTAATTTTCTCCACAAAAGTCTCTTTCTCACATACACACACACACACACACACACATACACAATAGTTTTAAACTTTATTTTTCTGTATTTAAGCGTTTAACAATCTAACTGGATTTTAATTTTATGTATGGAATGAGGTAGGAATCTAATTGTCTTTTTTCCCATATAGAAAGTCATTTATCCAATGCCGTTTTTAAAAGTTCAACTTTTCCCTACTAATATCCCGCTAATATCTCTTCTATCATAAAGGTCACATACACTAAGATATATTTCTGAGATCTCTGTTC